AGAATGTCTTTATATACAACAATCACAGCTTTTTTGTCATTGGACAATACAAACCGGCCGGTACCGCCGCAACCGCTACGGCCTTGCATTTTAAGTCTGTAATATCTTCGAAAATATTCATTTAAATTACATGCTGTAAAGAGCCATATTGATCTATACTAAATGCACAATGTATTTAAAAGTATTTACTTGGATAAGGATTAATCCTGTATTGCTTAAAAAGCCATTATTTCTCGTAAAAAGTAAAGGATAAAAAATGGTTATTGTGGGTTATCCCTAAGAGATAAACATATACCATCCTGACTTTTTGTAGACCTTTTTGAGGTGTACAATACTGTAGCATATTATTTTGATCTATCTCGTAGGGTTCAGCCAGCGTTTGCAATGTAAGTGAAAAAAAATGTGTTTATTTACGACATCACATTGCAAACCTCTAAAATTATCAATGTTTCTCTACTAATATTATGCATGTATTATACATATAAACCTTCTTCTTGAATTATTCTATCTATTAAAAAAAACGAATTAAAATCCGTTGCGTAGTTTTAAAGATATAAGCATACATAGGGACAGACAGCGGGGGAAATGCGTTGCATGATTTCGTTACATATTAGCAACTCGCATGAAACGAACTTACCCTACCGTGCGTAAAGAAGTGTCACTTTAATAAGGTATCATAAGAAAGAGTAGGAGGACAGGGGTTATAGAAATAAATAAAAAATAGGCGAGATAGGTTAGGATTCCTTTTTAGAGGAGCTAGTTAGAGACATATTAGAAGATGAAACATGGGTTAATAGGAGCAAAAGTGGACTACTGTTCGCAAACAATTAATGCTGTAGGTTGCTCAAGTTTTCGAGAAAGGGGAAGATGCGGAAGGGGATGTGAAGTGAAGGTTCAACTTCTTCTTCGGACTGAAGACCTTATGATGTTGATAATAATGAAAAAATGGCTTCAAATCATGTGGCATTTTTCAAAAGATAAAGCTATCCATTGATGATTACACGTAATAGAATCCTTGCATTCGATTCTCAATTTGCGCGTAGTGTTTACTAAGAGACTACTTAATACGGCTATAACTTCGTGAACACGGAACAAGTATATATTTAATGGTGTACAAAGAACTTGTTAAGCAAGATTTAAACGTTTTTATTGTTTTGATGTAAGTATTCATGCACGTAAACGTAAAGATTGTGAGAATGATACTGCAGAATTACATTTTTTGAAGGTAATAGGGACATACCCGAATAGGTACTTATATTGCGTAAGAACAGTTTATATTCTTGGTGAGTAGTTTATCAAAACTATCAAACATGGATTACGATTTCGAAGGTTTTTGTTCTAGTCAACACACCAAAGGCAGTCACGATAAATTCCTGACTAAACAGAAATTGTTCCGCAAAAGGAAGATGGTATAACGTTAGACTGCAGGCAGTATATTGTAGTTAGCTATAAATGACAGTAAATGATGATATATTGCCTGTCCTGTAGGTGCATTATTTTTTTTTTAATGATCTGACTACCAATTTATTTTAACTGACCAATTATATTAAATATGTTATATGCCTTTCATTATTTATTTTATAAGAAATGATGTAATTGACCTATTTTGACCATTTTCTGATCTTTAAGGTGGTATAGTTGTTTTTTTTAATCCCATAAAATGGGAGAAGTGTTACGATAGCAGAGCCTTATCAATTCCTCTAGAAAAAGGATCAGAAGGGATGTCGCGAGACAACAAATATGGCATTCATTACATTGTTTGCATCTATCACTGTAACTAATTATAAAAAAATAAATAGGTATTTACACGCTTAAAAATTGACACATATTGACAAGGTTCTTTTTACAGGCACAAATTATCAAAAATTCAGAAGTGGTCTGCATTTGTGAATAGGTAATGTAAATTATTAGAAAATATTTTTCATTTTTCATTTTTTGTTTTTCCACTGTACCATCTGATGTGTGGTATTCATAAATAAGGAATGTCAATGAAATTATTTACTGCTACGAAAGATAATTACCTTTTAACCATTTACTGTAATAGTTACTGGCGTGTTCACTTCTGATTTTTTGACATTCTGCAACTTAGATGACCAATACAGGTGGTCTGGAAGGGTCGATGTTCTTCATTAAATGAATATAACCGAATTTAGTCCGACCCTGATCATTAACTATGGGCGTTGTTCAGTTTTGGACACTGTTACAACATTATAATACAATAATAATAATTGTAATAATTATTATTAGGTAGTTGTTTGTGCTGGTTTTCTAGCAGACGAACTCTCCCCATTGTTGTACCCGTCAACTAGCGTGTCGAGTATGAATTTGATGGTGATTTTGTAAATGTTTTCGACGTTTTCCGTATATCGATCGCCCAGTGTTTGCTCAACAGCGGTTAAGAAGGGCGTTTCAATTTTCTGAAATAAAAAGTAAGGATGAGTTAGACATCACAAATAGAATTAAAATTATAATCACACAGTAAAAAACAACTAATTTCATTAGTTGGACGTACGAGCAGGGCATATCGTACATGAAAAATTTTAAAATGTGTATGGAGAAGTGTGAGTAAAATAGCTTACTAAGGTAAAATGGGATACCGTTGTTAGTCATACAGAGATAAGGCAAAATGTTTACCGAAGGTAGAAATTACACATTTCTTTGTCTACTTATCTTAAAATGTATTGACAAGACGGTATTGTATGAGAACTAATAAAAATAAAGCAAAAATATTGGTATGTAAGTANCTTTTTTGTCATTGGACAATACAAACCGGCCGGTACCGCCGCAACCGCTACGGCCTTGCATTTTAAGTCTGTAATATCTTCGAAAATATTCATTTAAATTACATGCTGTAAAGAGCCATATTGATCTATACTAAATGCACAATGTATTTAAAAGTATTTACTTGGATAAGGATTAATCCTGTATTGCTTAAAAAGCCATTATTTCTCGTAAAAAGTAAAGGATAAAAAATGGTTATTGTGGGTTATCCCTAAGAGATAAACATATACCATCCTGACTTTTTGTAGACCTTTTTGAGGTGTACAATACTGTAGCATATTATTTTGATCTATCTCGTAGGGTTCAGCCAGCGTTTGCAATGTAAGTGAAAAAAAATGTGTTTATTTACGACATCACATTGCAAACCTCTAAAATTATCAATGTTTCTCTACTAATATTATGCATGTATTATACATATAAACCTTCTTCTTGAATTATTCTATCTATTAAAAAAAACGAATTAAAATCCGTTGCGTAGTTTTAAAGATATAAGCATACATAGGGACAGACAGCGGGGGAAATGCGTTGCATGATTTCGTTACATATTAGCAACTCGCATGAAACGAACTTACCCTACCGTGCGTAAAGAAGTGTCACTTTAATAAGGTATCATAAGAAAGAGTAGGAGGACAGGGGTTATAGAAATAAATAAAAAATAGGCGAGATAGGTTAGGATTCCTTTTTAGAGGAGCTAGTTAGAGACATATTAGAAGATGAAACATGGGTTAATAGGAGCAAAAGTGGACTACTGTTCGCAAACAATTAATGCTGTAGGTTGCTCAAGTTTTCGAGAAAGGGGAAGATGCGGAAGGGGATGTGAAGTGAAGGTTCAACTTCTTCTTCGGACTGAAGACCTTATGATGTTGATAATAATGAAAAAATGGCTTCAAATCATGTGGCATTTTTCAAAAGATAAAGCTATCCATTGATGATTACACGTAATAGAATCCTTGCATTCGATTCTCAATTTGCGGGTAGTGTTTACTAAGAGACTACATCTATTAATAATGTTAATAATACTTACTTAATGCGGCTATAACTTCGTGAACACGGAACAAGTATATATTTAATGGTATACAAAGAACTTGTTAGGCAAGATTTAAACGTTTTTATTGTTTTGATGTAAGTATTCATGCACGTAAACGTAAAGATTTTGAGAATGATACTGCAGAATTACATTTTTTGAAGGTAATAGGGACATACCCGAATAGGTACTTATATTGCGTAAGAACAGTTTATATTCTTGGTGAGTAGTTTATCGAAACTATCAAACATGGATTACGATTTCGAAGGTTTTTGTTCTAGTCAACACACTAAAGGCAGTCACGATAAATTCCTGACTAAACAGAAATTGTTCCGCAAAAGGAAGATGGTATAACGTTAGACTGCAGGCAGTATATTGTAGTTAGCTATAAATGACAGTAAATGATGATATATTGCCTGCAACATATGTACATTGGAAATGTAGGTACATAGTTCCATCGGTTTTAGAGGTTAATCGGTATCCGCGAATTTAAGCGGCATTGTGGATGAAACTGGGTATACCATTTTAATTGAATATTAACTATAATTAACGAGTATTTTGTATATAAACGTTCTTACTGCAGCCATAGTAGCAAAAAAATAAGTGGATTTAAAAACAGAAGTAAAAAAAGGAAAAATGAATCTAAGCTGATAACTAAGGTAAAAAAGGAGTAAGGTGTCAAGTATTTCTAACTGACGCTGCCCTGATTCTGGTCTATAGGCCAGTCCATATCCAACATCGGGGATGGAAGGACCTCTGAAGAAGAACGCCACCCGTGCTAGCGAAACGTTAGGAAGTAACTCCAACTTTAGATTTAATCGGTTTAATATTTAGGTAAATTTTCCTTTTTCATATTCTCCGCGCATAAGTTGTTGAAGGTTTTAAATTTAAATTCTAAAATATATCAGTTCAATATGTTGTAGTTGTATAGTAGTTTACAAATAGAATTTTTTATTTTTTTGGACATTTTTATTACTTCATGAAGGTGTTTCGATTATTGCCTTTAGAAATAATTATATCTTGATAAATACAAGCAAGCGAAAACATTGACACAATAGAAACAGAAGAATGCAGTGCTTTTTTTCGGTAATGTTTTTGTAGAAAATTATTAACAACAAAATTGTCAACCGTTTTATGCAGAAGATTAAAAATGTCTGCAATTGCTTGATGGTATCATATAGTATACATAAATGACAGTAAATGATGATATATTGCCTGCAACATATGTACATTGGAAATGTAGGTACATAGTTCCATCGGTTTTAGAGGTTAATCGGTATCCGCGAATTTAAGCGGCATTGTGGATGAAACTGGGTATACCATTTTAATTGAATATTAACTATAATTAACGAGTATTTTGTATATAAACGTTCTTACTGCAGCCATAGTAGCAAAAAAATAAGTGGATTTAAAAACAGAAGTAAAAAAAGGAAAAATGAATCTAAGCTGATAACTAAGGTAAAAAAGGAGTAAGGTGTCAAGTATTTCTAACTGATGCAGCCCTGATTCTGGTCTATAGGCCAGTCCATATCCAACATCGGGGATGGAAGGACCTCTGAAGAAGAACGCCACCCGTGCTAGCGAAACGTTAGGAAGTAACTCCAACTTTAGATTTAATTGGTTTAATATTTAGGTAAATTTTCCTTTTTCGACGTTTTCCGTATATCGGTCGCCCAGTGTTTGCTCAACAGCGGTTAAGAAGGGCGTTTCAATTTTCTGAAATAAAAAGTAAGGATGAGTTAGACATCACAAATAGAATTAAAATTATAATCACACAGTAAAAAACAACTAATTTCATTAGTTGGACGTACGAGCAGGGCATATCGTACATGAAAAATTTTAAAATGTGTATGGGGAAGTGTGAGTAAAATAGCTTACTAAGGTAAAATGGGATACCGTTGTTAGTCATACAGAGATAAGGCAAAATGTTTACCGAAGGTAGAAATTACACATTTCTTTGTCTACTTATCTTAAAATGTATTGACAAGACGGTATTGTATGAGAACTAATAAAAATAAAGCAAAAATATTGGTATGTAAGTAATGTAATAATGAGTTTAGAGCTAATATAAAAAATAGAAGATGATAAACTAGAGATAAAGTGGTTAATTTTCAAGATCAGTTGATTCAAAAACAGTGTAAGTTTCAAGCACGGAAAATAAAAGGTTAGAAGCGTTGAGGAAGATGTTAAAAGTACCGTGGATAGAAAAGGTTATAAAAAAAAATACAACGTGTAATTAATTACACAACACGCTACTGAAGTGAAACTTCTTCAAACACACAAACATACCGGGATAGGGGTTAAGGAATTGGTTTAATGGTATTATTTGTACACTATGCTTCGCACGGGTGCAATGCTGATAGTAAATATACTATAGAATGTNAGTGAAGGTTCAACTTCTTCTTCGGACTGAAGACCTTATGATGTTGATAATAATGAAAAAATGGCTTCAAATCATGTGGCATTTTTCAAAAGATAAAGCTATCCATTGATGATTACACGTAATAGAATCCTTGCATTCGATTCTCAATTTGCGGGTAGTGTTTACTAAGAGACTACATCTATTAATAATGTTAATAATACTTACTTAATGCGGCTATAACTTCGTGAACACGGAACAAGTATATATTTAATGGTATACAAAGAACTTGTTAGGCAAGATTTAAACGTTTTTATTGTTTTGATGTAAGTATTCATGCACGTAAACGTAAAGATTTTGAGAATGATACTGCAGAATTACATTTTTTGAAGGTAATAGGGACATACCCGAATAGGTACTTATATTGCGTAAGAACAGTTTATATTCTTGGTGAGTAGTTTATCGAAACTATCAAACATGGATTACGATTTCGAAGGTTTTTGTTCTAGTCAACACACTAAAGGCAGTCACGATAAATTCCTGACTAAACAGAAATTGTTCCGCAAAAGGAAGATGGTATAACGTTAGACTGCAGGCAGTATATTGTAGTTAGCTATAAATGACAGTAAATGATGATATATTGCCTGCAACATATGTACATTGGAAATGTAGGTACATAGTTCCATCGGTTTTAGAGGTTAATCGGTATCCGCGAATTTAAGCGGCATTGTGGATGAAACTGGGTATACCATTTTAATTGAATATTAACTATAATTAACGAGTATTTTGTATATAAACGTTCTTACTGCAGCCATAGTAGCAAAAAAATAAGTGGATTTAAAAACAGAAGTAAAAAAAGGAAAAATGAATCTAAGCTGATAACTAAGGTAAAAAAGGAGTAAGGTGTCAAGTATTTCTAACTGACGCTGCCCTGATTCTGGTCTATAGGCCAGTCCATATCCAACATCGGGGATGGAAGGACCTCTGAAGAAGAACGCCACCCGTGCTAGCGAAACGTTAGGAAGTAACTCCAACTTTAGATTTAATCGGTTTAATATTTAGGTAAATTTTCCTTTTTCATATTCTCCGCGCATAAGTTGTTGAAGGTTTTAAATTTAAATTCTAAAATATATCAGTTCAATATGTTGTAGTTGTATAGTAGTTTACAAATAGAATTTTTTATTTTTTTGGACATTTTTATTACTTCATGAAGGTGTTTCGATTATTGCCTTTAGAAATAATTATATCTTGAT